ACGCATGTCTGCTGTGGTAGGCACTCGGACAGAATGCAGCTACGACATTTAGTCCTTACATCAATGCTTTGACGTTATTGGACTCTTAGCAGTTAATCATCTGCGCTGATTTTATAAGGAAAAATAGACTTGGTTGGCAAAGTGACATGCCTAATTCCTGTGGCAGAGTGTGCTGCAACCTCTGAACATGCAGTGTTACATGGGACAAGCTTCTTTTTAAAAGATGTGTTTTATGTGTATGAATGTTTTGCCTGCATGTATTGCTTATACCATGTGAGTGTCTGGTATCCAAGGAGGCCAGAATAGGGGGTTGGATTCCCTGAAACTGAGTTTTAAATGGTTATAAGCCACTGTGTGGGTGCTGGGAATTAAGCCTAGGTCCTCTGGAGAGCAGCCAGTGCTGTTAGCCTCTGAGCCTTCTCTTCAGTCCTGGAAAAAGGGATTTTGCTGGTATAATTAAGATTAGATATTTTACTGTGTGGTATGTATGCATGCAGGCACACATATAGGCACACATATGTATTTGTATCGGTGTGTGTGTCACAGCATGCATGTGGAGGCTGACTTACAGGGATCGATTCTCTCCCTGCACTGTGTGGGTTCTGGGGACTAAATTCAGATTGTCAAGGTTGTCTGACAGCACTGATAGCAAACGTCTTTACACTCTGAGCCATTTTGTTGGTACCAGACCTTTTTTTTTAAATTGGTGTCCTTGAATAGAGCACGTTGTCCTCTATGGTATCGTTGTGTTATTGTCAGAAGGTCTTTGGACTCAGCCTTTGACTCTTCCCTGGATCTCTAGCCTGCTTGCCTACCTGTAGTTACTGAACGTGCTCTTTTATGATTGTGTGAGCTGATTCCTTAGAATAAATCTCTCCAAACACATGCTTACAGGCATTTCTCTAAGGATTCCTACTATATCAAGCAAAAGGTGTTTAGACTAGTATGGAGAGGAGAGGTGAGAGGGACAGTTGTATTTGAGATATTTCTTTTCTTCTTTTAGTTTTTCGAGACAGGGTTTCTTGGTGGCTTTGGAGGCTGTCCTGGAACTAGCTCTTGTAGACCAGGCAGGTCTTGAACTCACAGAGATCCGCTTGCCTCTGCCTCCCGAGTGCTGGGATTAAAGGCGTGCATCCTCACAGCTGGGAATATGCTTTCTTAAGCTTGGGGATTGAACCCAGTGCCCTATGCATGCCAGCTAAGTACACACTGAGCCCCATCCCAACCCTTGGACATGTTCTCATGATAGGGACAGCACTTTATAGCAGGGCCAGAAATAGAATGTGAGCCGGGCAGTGGTGGCGCACGCCTTTAATCTCAGCACTTGGAGGCAGAGCAGGTGGATCTCTGTGAGTTCAAGGCCAGCCGGTTTACAAAGTGAGTTCCAGGACAGCCAGGACTGTCACACAGAGAACCCTGTCTCAAAAAACTGAAAAAAAAATGTGACCAAGTGCCAATTTGTCATAGGTGACACAGGTTTCTGTCAGAGCAATTAGAAGGTGTTGCCATAAAAAACCAAGAGAAGCCTTTGAAAGACCTGGTATCTGGGGGAGGGGGACTATCACACTGATTTGATTTGAACAGGTAAACTTTGACTTGACAGTTAGCCATAAATGTGGTTCAGGGGTTGAGAGGTCAGGCTGGAATTTACGTTGGGTAAGAGTCTAAGCTGGGTGTGACGGGGGCACTGAGATGGGATGGTAGGTCTCAGGGGATGTAGGGAAGGGACCGCAGCTGATCTCCGTGTCTGGACTTGAGAGGTTAGCAAGATGGACTGAGCAGAGAGATCTGGGGGGCAGTGGAAGGAGCAGGGGAGGCCATGGGGTGAGGCCGCCTGAGCAGAGGGTGTCCTGCTCATGCATGTGTCTCTGCACATTCTTGGAGTTGTTTTATGTGTTGTTTCCCGTGGAAAATTCAACAGAATTCTACTGTGTGCAGCCGCAGACATACAGTAGACACTGAGGTATTGGAATGAATGAAATGCCTGTTAGATCCCAGCTATTGTTCTGGACAGCAGAGTTGTTCCTGTCTAAAGAGGGATGTGACCCCTCCAAGTGTGGCTGAAGGGAGGGCGCTTTGTTTTGTTGTAGATACGAGGGAAGCACAGCCAGAGACATCTGGAAGAGTCCAGAGCAGGGGGAGAAACAGGTCGTGTAAGCATGGCCAGCAGACTGGACCATGCCGTGAGAGGGGTGGAGGAAGAGAGAGAGAGAGGAGAGAGGGAGAGAGAGAGAGAGAGAGAGAGAGGGGGGAGAGAGGGGGAGAGAGGGGGAGAGGGGGAGAGGGGGAGAGGGGGAGAGGGGGAGAGGGGGAGAGGGGGGAGAGGGGGAGAGGGGAGAGCGCCAAGGGAGCGGATGGCTGAAGGGGGGGTTACGTGGGAGTGTGGGGCAGGGAAGCCATGGTCCCGGAGGTAAGTTGAGGCAGGGCTGAGTGAGAAGAGCTGACCAGAGCCTGAAGGCTGGCACCACTCTGCTGTGCTCATAGGCACCATGGACAGCAGCCATGTGTGATGAGGAGTGGCTGCTTTGGTGTCAGAATCGAGAGTAGCATTTCCTTTGTACCTAGCAACTTTCTGACTCTGCCTTGACTGACTCATAAGGCGTACCTTATTCTCCTGGCCATATGGCTGATTTCCCTAAGGATGGTTCGAGGCTATGTAAGTGTGCAGTTAACCGGGTGTGAAAACAAGAATGTGTGTCCAGAGTAAGAGGGTGGCTCACTGTTCATACATTACCATCCTGCAGGAGTGCATGTCTGTTGCTGGCATTACTGCAAGATCCGTACATCTTTGATCTGGCTTCTCTTGGTTTACTGTTCTAACACCTAGAAGAATGTCTGGCATGAGGCCAATGCTCATTTACTATTTATAGAATGAACCGGTTTTCATACCAACACTTTCACCTAAGGTTAAATACGTGAGTGATTTTCTGAGGGATATTACTATTGGATGCACTTGAATTCTTATTTGTGGCCCCTCTGTATCCAGTGCATGCCTGAATCTGCCGTGATCTACTGATGCTGCCAGGCTCCTGCCCTGCTCTTATCTTGCAGCTTCTGCATTTGCTCTTGTGAGTGGATGGCTCTCCCCTTGTTTGCGTGCGCGTGTGTGCGCGTGCGTGCGTGTGTGCGTGTGTGCATGTGTGCGCGCGCGTGTGTGTGTGTGTGTTCCTGCAATGGGCTCCTATTAGGGCCTCTTCAAATTTATCTGCTCCTCGGAGAAGTTCCATGTTCTCCAGAGCTAAAGAGCTCTTCCTCTGCCTCCCTCCCTCCCTCCCTAGTTTCTCTGGTCAGTTTCAACAGTTTTCCTTTTCTGAGCACTTCCTGGACTCCCAAGCTCTTCCTGTGTTAACAGCTACCAGCCTTGTCACTCATCTTTGTATTCGCCTGTTTCTTCTGGCTTTGGACTCTCCCCATCCCAAGGAAACCGGGATGATAAATGAGATCCTGGCTTGTGTAACTAACTGGATGGTAGGTAGTTTTGTCATCTGCGCTAGTTGAAGAGCGTGAAGAATTGTGCTGTGTGTTAGATGCAGTTTCAGTGATAATGGACATCTGGCTTGTTCCTCTTTTGAGTTTGTGTGCATCTGTGTGGGTCAGAGGCTAGTCTGGGGTTTGTGCATGTGTGTGTTTGTGTGTATGCTATGGCACATGTGTGGAGGTCAGAGTGCAACTCAAAGGAGTCAGTTCTCTGTGCCTCTTAAACTCAGGCTGTCAGGTTTGTTGGCAAGTGCCTTTACCAGTGAGCCATCTCGTCTGCCCTATTAATATTTTATTTTTGAAGACGGTCTCTTATTGGCCTGGAGCTTATCAAGGTAGGCTAAGCTGGCTGACTGGCCAGCAAACCCTAGGGGTCTACCTGACTCTGTCTCCTTTCTCCTTAGATCTGCTTTTAGAGTGTATGCTACATGCTCAGCCATTCTATGTGGTTTCTGGGTGTCAAATTCAGCACTCAAGCTTGCACACAAGTGCATTACAAAAAGAGCTATTTTCTACCCTACCCCAACTCCTTGAATTTTATCTCTTTAAGAAACAAACAAACCTGCCGAGATTTTGGTTTTGAGTATGTTGATTTTATGCTCCCTTTAAGCATCCAAGAGGATGTGTCAGATAGGCAACTGTTATTTGCATTGGGAATGTAGAAAGTAGCTTGGGGTTGGGGTGCGACAGGCTGGGTGTGATTCCAGCTCTCCTAGTTACCTTGAACTTGGCAAGGCACTGAACCTGTCTGAGCTGTTCACTCCTTTGTCAAGTGAGAGTAACATCTCAGATTAAGTGAGAAGTTATGCATAGTACTCAGAATGTAGAATGACTTGAGCATTGCTAAACAGATTGGTCTGGTTAGTGATGACAACTTTTATGTAAAGTACTGTGCAGCTGTTTTTCTGTGGATGAACTTATTTTCTCTATTCCCTAGCCAAAAATTTTAGCTATTGTGCCCATATAATTCTCAATAAAATGTACCTGAAGCGCCCCAAAGGTCCTAAGTACTTAACACACCCATGAATGCATGCACGTCCACACATCTTTAATCTTATCCCTCACCAAATTTAGATGTTGTAAACAGCTTGAGATATAAAACCCTGGATTTGTTAACCGTGATTAGAAATGAGATTGCCGGCTGTCCCCATGAGCTGCTGTGAGGTTCTGTTGAATCTGAGTCAGAACTCAGAAAGGGCATGACTTTTCTTTTTCATCTTCCTTTTGAATGCTGGCCGGAACCTAAGCATCCCTAAGCTACTCTGGGCTTGTTTGTTCCCTTTGTCCTGCAGCGGCTCACTTGCCTCATGACTGATCTCCATGCCCAGCTCAAATGGCACGAGTTTGCTGTCTTAAACGCCTACCTGCGACCATAGGAACTTCTCTCAGAAACAGGGAAAGCACTGCTGTGCTTTTCAGTTGAGGATTGCTTCCACACCCATGGCCCCTTTCTCTCTTTTCTGTGGAGGGCAACATCAAGTTATGGGGTTGACTTCATTTCAGTATTGCATTGTAAGGAAAAGTTCACATTAATCATTTATTCTCCACATGGGCTTTCTTAGAAAAAGTTAAGGTTAATTAGGTTTCACAAAAAGTCAAACATATTAGATTTCCTTAGTTCTATGATGTGTTTGAGGAATAAGAAAATACTTCTAACAAGCAGGTAACATTTTAGTTAAAACCATACTAATCAATGAAAATATTGAATATTTAGAGTGGCTAAAAGACAATGCTGCTAAAATAGGTTGATGACACAGGGATTTCAACTTCTGACCTTGTAACAAAGAAATCTGGGGTCACATCGCTGTTTCTTCTGGTTAGTGCTCAGCGCTCTGACATGAAGGTGATGGTGGTATTCCTTAGCTTGGTGGGTAATAGTATGGTAGGTTCCAGACTCTGTGTGAGCAGGACGGAAACCTGTTCTTGGCATTTCTGTCTACATAACTTGATACTGTGGGTATTTCAACTTTGTCTGGCCTCTCAGAGCTTTCACCTGGGAGCACAGAGGCAGGGGAAGAGGTGATGTCAGAGTCCCACAGGCCAGCATGCTGACCCCCTCTGTCGGCACTGCCGAGGAAGTCTTTGAGAACTTGCTTGAAGATGTAGACTATTTCCCAGGGAAGGACATCATTTTCTGCCAGAAGTTCTCGAAATCTAAGGGGGATTCAGGGGTGAATGTTTAGAAATTTCTTTTGTACCCTACCTCCCAAATGCAGCTTACGTCATGTAATCGTGTACTAGGTACTGGCCTTTTGAGTAACCAGGAAAGCTTTGTAGTTAAAGGTCAAAATATTGAAATAAATTTCTACCAGTAAGCTGTTAAGAGGTATATAGGGTTTTTGCAGATGGGTATCTGGTACGTATGGTTAAAGAGTGCGTGAACGGGGCAGTTTGTGGTCTGCAGGAGGGGCAGGGGCAGCTCATGCACAAGATGAGGGCAGTCTGGTACCTGCTGAGAATGGCTCCCATCTGACAAGGCTGCACTTGGGAGCAAAGAACTTCAAGCTGCCTCTGTTGAGGGGCTGGGATGGTGGCCTGAGGGCTTCCCAGCCAGGTGTAATCAACACCTGTTCTTTTCACTTTCTGCTCATTTTCAATCTCTTGTATTAATCTCTCACGCTCCTTTAGATGCCATCCTAATTCCCGAAGCAGAGTCTTTGTCACGATATCTGAGCCAGGATAATGTGTTTGCTTGTAAGAATCATTTTTTGGCCATTTCATCCAGCTAAAAAGTGGCATTTTTAGACTGTGGAGATAGTAATGTTTACTTTCAGAAAATTAATGTTTTTTACGAGTGAATTTTTAAAATTTAATATTGCCAGAAAAAAATTCATGAATTTTTCACTAGTTTCACAATAAGATTAGAACATGGATTAAAGTCTTATAGTTTCTAACTAGGTCAGTGCTAAAAACTAGCCTTTGGAAATACTTAGATATAACTGCACAGAAATTAAATAAAACCAAAGATAATACAAATTGAGCAATTTCTGAAAATAACACTTGCTATTAGAAGTTCTTGGGGGCTTTAACGTTTCCGTGTCTTGAAAAGTGCTGTCTGCAAACCCACTCTTGACTTACTCTGTGCAGAAGGCGTAAAGCTTACCTGCCGAGGAGTAGGTGAGTTTGTGGGGACGCTGCGGAGTTTGCTTCACTCAGGTGGGTCTCATTTTCTTGGACGTCTTCCACTGAAGGAAATGTCTCCTCATTTACCCACTGGAACTGTTTGAAACACAACTTTCCATGTTAGGAATGAAGCTCTGTTATTTAGAGAGAATGCCTGCTAATTCACCTCGTAACTAAGCTAAAAGAAATATATATATATATCTCATCTTCACAAATTACATTCGTTGTCTACCTTTTGAATGTAGCTTATTTTGTTTGTGAAAGATGCCGGCAGCTATAATGCTGCTCCCAGATGTAAGCTGCAATGTCTCTGGAAACGGAACGGAAGCAGGCGTGTGAGCACTCCCGACGCTCTCCCAGCCGAGGCGAAGGCTGTCGCATGATGTGCTGCTTTGCTGTGCTTAGCTGTGGGTCACAGCTCCATGCTGTATTTTTATGCCCGTAGCGCTCTAAAAATAACCACACTGCTTTTATTCTCCAGCTTAACTTTCAGGCCATTGGAAGCCAGGTCACTGTCCCTTCTAATGAAAGCAGGAAAAGCAGATCAGACCTGACTAAAAGCAAGACACACACTCCACAAAAGCTTATTGTACCTCAGAATAGTGGGCAGCACATGCGACATCAGTCCTGTGTGGAATGCTTAGCAGATATCACTTTCTACATTCATTTATTGCTTATAAAATAGCAAATCTGTGTGTTGAAGTTGAAATGCTAGAGGACCCTGAAGCACCTGGGTAGTAGTGTGTATTTGGCAATCTGTGTTCATGGTGGTAAGCCAGTGATGCGTTATCAGTGAAAGCAGAGATAAGAAAATGTACAAACTTCCAAATAGAACTATACAGGGTGGGGTGTGACTTGGGTAGAGTGTTTGGCTGGCATGTGTGAACCAAGTTCCATCCCTAGCAGCACGTAAAATGAGGTGGTAGCATTGCATGCCAGTAATGTCAGCGCTGGGATATGGAGGAAGGAGTATTGGAAGTATCAGGCTGTATACAGAGTTCAAGTCTCAGAGCTGCAGACGAAACATTGGTAACCACTGCTTGACTGAAGGCTGGTGTCCTTGGGCTTTATTGTACCTTTCTTCTGTCTAGGTGCTTGTCTTGTGAAACAGAGGCTAGATAGAGTATAGCAGGTCTTCGCTTCTTAGCTTTCAAGTGATGAAACTGTAGCTTTTCCTTTTATAATCTTTATTTTTTTCTGTTGCTTTTCTTCCCAATGAACCAAGAATAATAGACATTGTTCATATCAGACGTGTATGTCATGTGTGATCAAGAGTGACATGTGTGGTCATGCTACAATTCCTATTATGTCTGGAAAAGGCCAGACGTCAGGATTCATTCCCCTCAGTGAGGAGACTTTCACGTTATGTTGCCTGTAATAGCAGGAGAGGGAAAGGGGTGAGGTTTATGGTGACAGACTGTCCTTCCAAATTAAAAACCAAGATTGTACCAAAGCATGCAGCTTTGAAACTTTGTAGTTCTTGAGAGCTTGTTTGGCGGCCCTAGCAGGGGGGGTGCAGCTACAGGCATCCTTGACTGAAGACCAGTCCTCCTCTGTTCCGGGAAGGTCACCCTCTTTGACCGAGCAGTGAGGGAGGACAGCCTAGTCAATCAACCCTGTCGATCAGTGGGGTGACAGATGTCTCAGCCAGATCGCCCTCACATCCAAAACGTTGTAATTCTTTAGAGATGCCTTCTCTGAAGTGGTAACCAGCATGAACCATATTGAAAGGAGAACAAACCTGATTTCTGCTCTTTCCGTCTTACGCCACTGTCCCCACCCAACTTCCCTGCTGACGCTCTCCAATGCCGAGGACACTTGTTTTACACTGCAGTTTCAGTTTTGTTTGGTTTTGAGACAGGGTCTCACTTATGTAGCCCTGGCTGTTCTGGAACTCACTGTGTAGACCAGGTTGGTGTCAAACTCCTAGAGATCCACTTTCCTCTGCCTCCTCAGTGCAGGGATTAAAGGTGTGGATCACCGCACTACTCCCAAGATTTAGATATACTGACTTCTCAAACGCTTATTATTTCTTTTATTTGTATTTGTTTTACTTTTTAGTTCCTGTTCAATTCTGTTTTTTTTTTCTTCAACATTTTTTGGGTCTATTCTTCTTTGAACTTGTTTTAGTTTTCCCTTTTTGAATGTTTTCTGATGAAATCCTGCCACATGTCCTGTATTTGTTGATGCTCAGTTGCTCAGCTAACCTTACTGATGTCTCTGTAGTCTGGAGGGTGGCACCTGGGATGACTCAGCTCACTAGATGGTTCTAGTTCGATTTCATGGGCTGCGCTTCCAAGGGAAAGATGAATGTGCGTGAGTGAGATCGTTACAGGTTGTCTGTGTTCTAAGGGACAGATGAATGAGCATGAGTGAGGTCCTCACAGGTTGTTTATGATAACGTTCTTCCAGTTACCCCTCAGCTCGATGAGGGGTCGGGGAAGGACTTTCTAGTTGATACAATTTTTTAGATTTTTTTATTTAAGATTTATTTTTATTTTATGTGCATTGGTATCTCCCCTGCCTGTGTAAGGGCTGTCACATCTCTTGGAACTAGAATTACAGACAGTTGTGAGCTGCCATGTGGGTGCTGGGACTTGAACCTGGGTCCTCTGGAAGAGCAGCCAGTGCTCTTAGCCACCAAGCCATCTCTCCACCCCCGGGGGCTAATTCTTCTGAACAGGGATTTGTATATTGATTCTTGAAACAGGGTCTCATTACATAGCTCAAGCTTTAATCAGACCTCTTAAGTAGATTACTGGCATCAGCCACAGCAGCTGGTCTTTGGGCACAGATTTGTCGAGGGCCATCTCGCTTCTCTACTTGACGTATTGGCATCTGTCCAGACACTGCTCACGCTGACAGACCTTTAATACTTCCTCAGTTCACGCTGAGCACTGTTCCTTTGCACACACTTGTGCACTTGTACAAAACAAGCTTCTAGTATTTAGTCTGTGCTACTTTACTGTTTTCATCTTTCTCCTTTCTCTGGAACTGTTAGGATTGACGCAGATGCCAGATACCAGTCTCTATAATCTCCTACTGCCACGTAAAGAACATATTTGTAGGCATGATAGGCAATTCTCTTTAAACATTTTTTTCTGTTTATCAGGGTTAAAAACAGATTCCCATAGTTTATCAGCTACGTTCTAAGTTCACAAATGGACCACTTATGTACAGAACCTTATTAAGCTATTTTGTATGGAAGATATGGAACAGTTGGGTCATTTTCTGTTTGATTGTCTTGTTTGCTTTTTTTTTCATTTTTATTTAATGTGGATGAGCATTTGCCTGCTTGTATGTCTGCACACGTGTGTAGTGCCTGCAGAGGCCAGAAGAGGGCACCAGATCTCTTGGAACTGGTGTTAAGAAGGTTTGATGCCACCATGTTAACGGCTGAGCTGTCTCTGCAGCTTTGGTTATCCTGGTTTTTCTAGGCTACACTTGATTAAATAAAGTCTTCAGTGACTTGAAATGGTGCTATATTGTTCATAATATGTGTATCTGTACAACATTAAGTTACATGACAAAGAACATAAAGAGATAAGTCTAGAAAGAGAATCAGGGACCTTTGAAGGCTGGCTAAGGAGCAAGGGATGACTTTGTCAGCATTATTGTCCAGGCCACTGGACATGTTTCTAACAGCATTAGTTCGCAATTACAGAAGGATTTTTCATTGTGGGAAATTTAATATTTTTCTGCTTAAATTCTTTTGCTATGAAGTTAAAAAATCAGGGTTAATGGTTCATTTTATTAAAGTTAAAAATCACATTTCTATGTACTTATTTAAATATTAAAATACTTGACAAAATACAAGTAAGGGTAAATTGTTTATGATAAGTGCCTCTATGAAGAGTCCTCTGCCAACAGTGGCAAACTAAGACTCCCATTTTACCACTGTGTTCAGTATGCTACCAAAAATCCTACCAGAGCAACTGTGGAAGAAAAATTAGAAGACTTGTCAGTGCCAAAATGGAGCCACTGGTTAAACTCAACAAAACAGAGCCAGGACGTTATACAGGGAGAACCCTTGCAAACATCCCCAGAAAAGCTCTTATGTGCACAAACCTGTAGCCGCCCTTGCTGGGTCTTTCCAAACTTCAGTTGTTCACAGGTCCTGAGAGTCCAAGTGAGCAAAAGGCCTGCGTGGATGGTCTCCATTGATTTACTCAATAGCGTGGTAAGGTATGATGGCAGGCCATGCCTGAGCAGCACGGGTGAGTCCGGCATGTCACAAATGCCCTAAGCTCTCCCAGCCAGAGTCCCTGTGGGTCACGGTGTGCAAGGTGAAGGAAGAAAGGGAAGTGGGTGATTGGTGGCTGCTCTGTCCCATCTAAGACAGCGAGTTCCCTTGCCTAACCCTACGCTGGGGTGAGTTTGGTTGGAGATGGAGAAGGAAATAGGGAACCCTGGCTTGGTGTGCTTTGCTGTGGCGTCCTCACCAGTCAGCCTGTCTCAGCCTTCCCTTCCCTGTGGGCTCTGAGCGCACTGTAGGGGCTTCCTCCCTTCCTCTGCCCACACTGCATGCTGCACAGCCTCGGGGCCTCTGGCCTTGGGGCTGGTGATCTGGGAAGTGCTCTCCAGGATCCCTGTCACTGTTCAAATAGGTCTCAGATGTTGTCACTCTTCTCTCTCTGGCCAAAACAGGTCGTGCTGAGGCCAGCAATGTCCTCCGGCTCTCCTCAGCCCCAGCTCCTCCCACCCAAAGCCCCAGGCACACTCCGGGACCTCAGGACCATTTTGGACTGCTTTCCCCCACATGCCTAACATGGCTATTCTACCTGTAGCTCTCCTTGCCCCTTCTCTTCTGACACTGTTTTCCCCATGCTCCGTATCCATGCACTTTATTTCACTCGTTAAGAAAAGATTAGAAAATTCGTGTGTGTGTGTGTGTGTGTGTGTGTGTGTGTGTGTGTGTGTGTCTGTGCACCACTTTCGTGCCTTGTGCCTGTGGAGGCCATAAAAGGTCGTCAGACCCCACAGAGCTGGAGTGATGAATAGGAGCGTTTAAAATGGTTTGCTGACCATTTGCATCTTCTCCATGACTTCCATAAAACAACCACTCAGGAACTCCCCCGGGGGTAGAAGTTTGGTGACTGTTTTTTTACTGTTCTCTGCAGGTCACTCAGCCAGAGGAGCTCAGAAATGGAATATATTAACAAATACAGACAGCTTGAAGCACAGGAACTTGATATGTATGGCCAGGATCAGCCACCCAGTGGGCCAGGTAAGCAAGTGTCCTTCCATGTCTTATATAGGATGCATGGACAGTTCATGCATTAAAACAGCATCTTCCCAAGAAATACAGTATCTTGCTAAAAATAAAACAAAACAAAACAGACCCAACTTAGGCTTCTTAATTTAAGATTTTTTGGGGGCAATGAGTGTATGGTAGATTATAAGGTGTTAATT